TCTCTACAGCACCAACTGCTCCCATTAAGTTCGCTTCGCTTTCCCGTCGACTCAAGTCTGCAAACACGCGTCGTCTAATCTCAGCCACACTCAACTCCTCTTTCTCCCTCCACGCCTCCTGTTCCTCCTCTGAGACATCACAAATATTGTACTTCATGCGCTCAGGTTCGATGGTCCCTCCCAACCGACCTATTTTGCCCACTTTCATCGAACCAGTGGGTGCACTGGAGGCGTTTGTGGTGGGACTCACATCATCACTTGTAAAACGTCTTGTCCATTCGTACACCTCCTTTATCGACCGTCCTATCAGATTTTCAAAGAATGGCCTTTGAGAAGATCGTTCCTTCGATTTTGCAGCCTCACGACTGAATGCCTCTGTGGAGGTGCCTTCCACGCTATTGGCTTTGATGAGCTCCATGATGAGACGGTTGGTGGAATAAATGTTGTCTGCAGTGATTGCACTGAAAGCGTACTTAAGTTGCATCTTGGCATCGTCTGATGAGTCGAGAATTTGTCTGATTCTCTCATCGCCCTTGGGGTTCGACCTTCGCCGAAAATAATGCCGAATGAGTGCTGATACGCCTTCGTGATTTTCTATCAAACAGGGCTGTATGTGATGAGCCAGCCTTTCAAGGCGTTGTGCACGCACCTGCAAGTTGTTTCCGTCGGCTTTGATCCAGTCCATTGTGTGCAGTATTATTTGTTGCTTCAGACGTTCGATCTCGCTGAGTCGACGAACAAATGTGAAGATAACAGCCAGCTGCTTCTCCGCAGCTATCACGTGTGGCGCTCCCACTGGTCTTGTTGCGGGACGAGTGTGGATGAGACTTAATGGCAAAATAGAAACAGCCTCCGCCTCCTCAATAGCTATCACTGCATTTGTTGCCAACACTATCACTCGTGGTGTGAGGCGGGCTAATCGAGCAACCAAACGATCATGTGTAGCACGAAGCTTGTCTGCGGCACGACTTGGTCTTCGGACTAATTTGCCATCTTCACCAAATGGACACATGTGGTCCCACCACTGCGGTGCCATTCGATCAAGAAAATGCATCAACGCCTCCACTCTATGTTTATACCAGTCAATTTCGTTTGCTAGTGTTTTGCCTCTAGTTAAACGTGGGCCTCCTACTAGACCAACGATGGCTGTCGGAGTCGAATCGATTCTATTGTCAGATACGAGTGGAGTGACTTTTTCCTCTCTAAGTTCCGACCGCGGTATGCCAATTTTGGTGTATGAACTGCTTCGAAGATGATGGAAAGTGTCCGCCATTCCCACTACCAAAGACCCTCTACAAGATTTTCACAATCCATGTGAAAGAAATGTCCAGCATATTTGAAATGCAATCGATACGCGCTTTTGGTTAAGTACCTTGGCCTTGAAAAGCAGCTCTTACCCGGAAGGAATAGAGAAGGAGTATTTTACTAACAATGAAGGGAAACGCATCAAAAGAGATGGTTTATATTGAGATACTCAGTTATTCATAATTTCCAGTAGAAGTGATTTCAGTATTCGTGCTTCGTATGTGACCGTATTCTGACCGGGATGGATTTTCGCTCCTTCTAATGGCTGGTCGGCAAACACTTTGACATTTCGACCATATGCTAAAGAGATGGCAGTGCAAAAGTTGAGCTTTAATTATTGTTGACAAAATAGTAAATTTATGAGGCAAGGTGCAAACTTTTACTTTCACATTGTTCCAAAAACTCCAGGCAGTCCAGTAATACAGAGTCCTTGATCATAATCATGTGTTTGGCCATATTTTCAATCATTGACAAGAAGCAGCGCTTGGCATAGTACCTGAAGAAAATGGAATGCAGAAAGTGTGTTTGCAGTCGACGTGAGATCGCTGGACTTCCCGTCAATCAACTCATGAGAGGCAAACTAGATTATGTATCTACAGGAACTGCTAAAATTTGGATTTGAAGAATCTGACAAGGAATGGCAATACCATGTGTCCGTTCCTAATTTCTTCTGATAAGGCTCCAGACTGCGAATGACTCGACTGATGCCAAAGTCGTAGTTACCACGAGTACAGTAAAGCGTGCCAATGACAAGATTGACGATGCAGAGATGAAATATTTTTCGTTCACCTCCACCGCCAGACCCGAATGAAGTCTCCACATCATAGGCTGCCGCCTCTTCCTCCTTTTCCAATTTACGCATCAACTTCTCCGCGTCTGCATTCTCGCCCGTCATGATGTAGGTGACACAGAGATTGGCACTGATGATAGCACTGATGCTCATCAGAGACTCGAAGTGACGGCGAACGATGGGCTCGTAGAATTCACTAGCTTCACGATACTTGTTTTCTTGCATGAAGAGTACATGCGCTACGTTAAGCTTCCATGTCTCGTGGTCGTTGCAGAACTCTACTGACTTTCGGAAGATGCGTTCTACCTAAAAATACCGCCACATGCTTTTTAAAATTGCCATGTTTAAGTACAATTTGGGAATCCTCCCATTCGAATACTTTTAGTGATGACCCTTTTCTTCAAACACTCATGATGATCTCCAACCACGAACCTGTTGATAATTTTGAGCATCCCAGTATATTTTTGCCTGTTGCATAAGAATTGGAATGTACTTCTCAATCGCCATGTCATACTCATTTACAGCCACCTTCAATGCCTCATCATCCATGGCTTTTCGTGCTTCTTGTATCCGTTTCGTAAGATTTCGCAAATGTTCTGTGCATCTGCCTGACATTTGATCGAGTCGGCTAAAAAACAGAGATATCGTGGGGACAACAATTAAAATCGACAGCGTCTCCTTAGTTATGTGAGAAAAGGCATCTTTGACAAATTTACTTCTCCGTACTTGTAGGCGTCCTGGGGCGCTGATTGTCGCATGATGACGGCTTCAATGAAATCATGCAATTCTGGACTTAGGTATTCATAAGCCAAAGCGCTGTTTTCAGCCATCACGTCGGCTGCGAGATCAAAGTACTCATATTTCACATAGAGAAGAAGGAGGTTTGCAAAAGTCTCCCTAGGAAATGTGGGCTGTTGGAGTAGAAATTGAAGTTTGTGGAATCCTGTAGCGGGCGCGATATCCATATTCATAAGGGCCTGATTATGCAAAGTTACATGGTCTAACTCCTCCTCCGAACGCGGTGGCATGTCGGTCAACGCCTCTCGTGCTGCTGTTAGGTTGCCCAAGTTGTACTCAATCGCCGCCTTTTCCATAGCAGAGTGTAATCAGTCGCTATTCAGCTTAAACAGAGTTTTATGTCTATCACAGCAATCAAACGTACCTTTAAATTGAATGTTTCCACTAGAGCTGTCTCATGTAGGGTGGTTGTATTTCCCACGCTTCGCACCTCTAGACCCTCGGTAATCATTCCTACGCCCAACTCAGGATGATCGTGGATGCCCCGCTCAATAATATCTGCGATATACTTCAATGCCTGAGCGTACTGCTTTAATTGGTAATAGCACAGTGCCACATTATAGGCCAAAGTAGGTTGGAATCCGACAGTCTAGAAAATTAATGAACTTAATAAAACGGAGGCAAGTTTGACGACTTAAGGAACTATCTATCAGACCCACTGCTAGTGACTGTTGAAACCGTTTGCAAGCCTCGCTGTATTTTCCCTCCCGGTACAGAAGACAGCCGACATTGATACCCGTGTCGGGATCTTCGGCAGAACATTGGTGGATGAAGGCAGCTGCACCGGCAATATCGTCGCCGCTGAAGCGGATGGCAGCCTGTAGCTTCACAACGCGCCCCTTGTTCTCCGATTGCTCTGTGTCTGCGGCTAATGCAGCAGCAACCTGCATTGCGGCTTCATTGAGACCTGCGCGATGGAGACAGTGTGCAAAGTGGAGACGATAAGTTGGATGATTGGGACATAGTTGAGACAACTGTTCGTAGCAGTCAGAGGCCTGAACGTAGTCCTGCGTCTGAAAGTAGCAGAATGCAAGGAGGGAAAGTGCAGCTCTTGAAGTAGGATGAGCATAGCGCTGAATATTTAGCACCTCAATAGCCTCAGCGTATTTTTTCTCTTTAATATATCCGTAGATCGCCGATGTGAAGTTACCCTCATTTACTTGTGCCACCATTATGAGAAACCTACAGGAGTAAATAAAGAACTTAAGACAACATTAAAAAGATAATGATGCAAAGCCAATAGCAATCTTGATGCAATCCAGCAGACTTATGCAGTGCATTGTGTGTAAATTATAAATGAAATTTCTGAGCATATCCATACAATTAGTAGTAAAGTTGGAGTAAGTACCGATGTGGAAAGATTATAAAACCATTACAACAAAATAATGCAATAGTGAATGAAAACCTTGCAAAAGAATTGATCTAATAAAAGCATATTAGTTCCAGAGCATTTCTCTCGTCAATCGAAACTAGAACTATTTTCGCTGGCACTAGACTGTTGCAAAAACCATAAATCGATAGTTGCAAGTATCACAAACTATAAGTTTGCAGGATTCGATAAAGCTTAAGCAAACACGTGTATCCGGGTCTGAGCGTCCTTTTTAAAAATTTGTCGTCAAGATATGAATTCTTCATAGGACCAAGGTCAGAGAGTTGTAAATTATAAAATCTATGCCTTTTAGTTTTTCGGCATCAAGACGATTCCAAACTGCTGGAGCACAGAAAACAGTAAGAAAGAGTAGAAATCGTTTTTGTAAAGATTTGTTATAAAAAATCCCCATTTTAGTTTACGTATATATCAATTTCACGAACTCGGATAAAGGCTAAATTTTTACAAAACAAGACACAAAAAAATAGCTTGAGACAATACGCATTGGACGAGTAGTAATTTCACGGATGTAAATTAGACAGTCGTAAGCCAGGCACGCCTTTTTGCTCCTCGCGGAAAATACAACGGGATTTCGAACATAATCTTGATCCCTCGCTAAGCCAGAAACAATAATAATTGTACCTATCGAAAACAGTTTTTAACTTTTTAACTTTTCTTTGTTTCGTTGATAATGGTAACTCTGCCAAATTTAGATAACGAAAATGTTAAAATTATTTTATTTAAATTTACTACATGACCGTCGCCTTTCAAATTTCTCATCCGTGTGCCCAGTTATGCCTAGGACGAGGTTTCTTTGTGATGTCTTGGATGAGTCCTTTTATCAAACTTCCTACAGAGATCGTCGAAATAATGCAAGTTGTTGAGTGGAATTTTCTTATGCCATGTATTTCTCTTCTATTGGAAACTTTTCCTACTAGGCTTCTAATCGAGAACTAAATAAGTCTCTTCTCAAATCTTCCACCTTATATGTGGGCAATTTGTCCTTCTACACGCGAGAAGAACAGATCTGGGAGCTCTTTAGTAGAGCTGGGGAGGTGCGGCGAGTTATTATGGGCCTTCACAGAGTTGACAAGACCCCCTGCGGTTTTTGTTTCGTGGAGTACGAAGACAGAGAAGGAGCTGAAATGGCAATGAGGTACATCAACCATTGCCGGCTCGATGATCGAATAATCAGAACAGACTGGGACGCCGGGTTTGCAGAGGGTCGACAGTTTGGTCGTGGACGAAGTGGTGGTCAGGTGAGTCATCTAACTTTTACGTTATTTACAACGTTGTGTGATTTTTTTGGACGCAATCACTATCAGTATGTTGTCGTGTGTGGCTTTGTCAAACTGAACTTGTAGCTTGTTTTAAACCATATTAAATAGCCTAGTTTGTTGGATGTTATGACAGGTAATCGCTGACGTTGCTCTTGTTTTATTATTTGTCTTGGTGTTCTTTTGTCTTCTTTCGAATTTTGCCGTCAATTTTATCTGTTGGTGGCTTTGTCCTGTTTTTTTTGAGATATGGCAAATCACTATCTTCACATTTGCCTTTAATCAGCATTTACTTTAATTCTTCAATAAGTTTTGTCAATAGTGCATTACACTTATCTAGTTTTTTTTATTTACCATGGTGTCGATTAATGTGCCATGTAGAGCATCATTGGTTACCCCTCATTTGAATGTTATAGGTTCGTGACGAGTTCCGAAAGGACTTTGACGCAGACAGGGGCGGATACGGCAAGATGGTTCAGAGAATGATACAGGATTGATAGCAATTACTTTGCTTTACATTTCCATTTTTGTAGCCAACAAACTCAGTTTTTTTCCAACATCTGGTTGCTTGGATTCGCTGACGTTGTTGTGCTCCCTTTTATCACTTACTTATTAAGCGATTCCGTTTTTTTTTTATTTGGCTACCAAATCAGGTATTAAAAATCCAGATTGTTCTAGGTTAGTGTTTGTCTTTCTTCATATGAATCGACGATTGATTCTTGACGCATTCCCCAAATATAGGAATTAGAGCTCTCTACTTAGTCGACAATGATGCTGACTTGAGCTTCGGAGTTCATTTGTTAGCTGCTCCATTGAGGCAATGGGTCAGTGGTTTATGTTGGTTTAAAGTGTTTGGGGTAGGAAGTCAGTCATTACTTTGTTACCCCTGCCTATAAACGACTGTCGCTGCGCACTAGTCCTCCGTATAACTCACTTTGTCGGAATTGTAAAATCGGTAATGCTTTGCGGTTAAGCATATGGACAGTTTTTTTCGCAATTTCGGGTTTTTCAGAGTTCATATAGCTCAGAAAGAGAATCAGCATAACAAACTGTAATATCTGATTTTGTTAACTACAGAAGGGACCACATGTTCCAACGTCCAATTTCACGAGGGCTTCTGTGAGGCAAGCAGATTGTGACTGCTCAAATAAGCATATAGCTAAAAGTTGAGGTTTTTTTGACATCGACCTACCTTGTTCACGAAAGTACTTGAATTCTTGGACAGTCTTCCACTGAGTAATAGAGCAGTAATTCGGTTGCGACATGCCTAATTTCTGAATTATTTTTGGAGTGCCGGCGACTAGGTATCCATTGTGTTTACATGCTAATTCAGGGAGTTGATAAATGAACCAATTGAAACGTTGAACGTAGCGAACATCGTAGAAGCTGATCTCTATAAGTGGGTAGTCTGAAAAGGTGGTAATTATTATGTGGGCATCATGTTAAGTAACCTCTCTTTGGGAGCACAATTATGCAGGCTCACCCTTGACGTGCTTTGTTGGATAGCTAAGGTTTACTGTAAAGTATTCTACGTGCTGTGGAAACTCAGTTTTTAGATGAAGGATCTGGAAGAGGTCGTTTGCACCTTTTACGTCGTCAAAGGACAAAATAATGAGAGTTGTTTGGGAGCTCCAGAAACCGCGCAATGGCGTCGTATCCTACAGTGGAATCAGATTAAAATTGTACTGCCGTCTAGCATCACCAAATATGTGAGTGTTCTGGATCTTCGGGTTCCTTTTTACTTACTTCAACACCTATTCCAAAGATCTCGCCGCCGTAAGACTCGATAATGGACCTCCTCTTGAGAATGAAATTTCTGACTGCTCCAACTGGTTGCATTGATCCGTCCACTGTGATTACAGCCAAACATTGTCCAGTGTTTCGAGGAATGTCCTTAATTCCTTATTACTTTAGCTAATCAAAATGCTCACAAGTAGAAATGTTGGTCCTGGCTCTTCATTGAAAACTGAAAAAGTGGCTATTTTAGCTAAGTGATGACCTTACCCAGTTTGGAGCATGTCTCCGTTTCATGAGGCTTAAAGGTAGACGACATTCCAGCTTATAGCACGTGACTAGCAATTTTAAATTTTGGAAGTTCGTTCAATGTACTATTTTAAGGCGTCGAAAAAATCAATAATTTCCCTTAGCTGTCTGTAGGCATTCTGGGAGCCTGTGCGTACTCATCCACATAGGATTTTTTTTACTTTCAGTAACTTTTAGTAGCAACTAAACAACTAACTATCTTTAATACGATTCTTAATAAGCAACAGTGGGTTCTGTCTCCGCCCTATTTGCGTAATTTTGACCTCGCTGAGTCCTTGTACGAACATGCTGACCGGTTACAGATTTTACGCTTGTCTGACAGCAGCATTGTGGAATGCATGACCCGCCAAGACTAATGAGGCCTCCAGAAGGCGGCACAGTACCTTACATCTTCCCGAGCTGTAGAATAGCTGATAATTGTCAAACATTGGAAGTCTCGCAATCTCGTCACTTCAAACACCAATTTTTATGGTTAGCGCATTAAGAAAAGCAAACCTAGTTCAGGAATTTCTCGTCACCATCTAGGTTTGACGCCGTTTTTGAAGGATTGTCATATTTCATTATGGAAACGGGCGAGTGAGGAGAGTAAGCCAAGAAGACAGGCGTAGACAGCCGGTAGTAAAGACATGGGAGCTTTAGTAAAATCAATTACATGAACTCATTCCCTCTGCGGCTGTATTAGATGTCGTTGACAGCTTCTGTGTTTTTCAAATCAGAATGTTGGTCTGATTGGCGTAGCTGCTTTTCACTATTTTTTTCTGCTTCTCTCAAGCAGGAATTTTGCATAGTCTATGTTCCTTTTAATTCTCAGATTTCATTTGCTTCCAATCAACATTCTCTCTTACTTAAACGATCCGTACAAATTTCTGACTCCACGCATCAACAGTTTTACTCTTTCAATGAAAATTTACTAGTTCCAACTTCTAAAAAAACTTATTTAAAGAATGCTGTAAACGGAACCACTTTACATATTCGACTCGACTGAAGATCTTTGGAATGTGTTCACGCTTATGTTGGGAACGAGAATTTCCATAATGGCTACGACAACAGTTTTCAAAAGAACTGATGATGTGTCACTAGACTATAATTCATACTTGGTACACCACGTTGGATGTGCACTAATCAATTCCTTTAATCGCTTTACTAAAACATGCTAATTTTTGAACAGCGTGCCACCGGTCGTGTAATAAGATTACAATCAAACATAAATAACAACAATTTAGATTTTAAGGACGCGACTCGACGCCCTACGCATAGCATCCCAAGGAGCATTTGTTTTCGCACAATTTGCGACAAATGGCCTAAGGTCACACGTCGGTCTTTTGATGCACTTTAATGCACGCAACTATAGTTGTCGAAAGTCTTATATTTAATAATTAGTGCCAATTTAGCAAGTTATTGCAGTGATACTGCAAACTAAAGTATCATAGAAAAGGTCATTACAAAAATGAATTTGATTATCAGGCAAAGTTTGTTTACCGTTATCAATGTGTTCTAGATTCCACAAACTTTATGGCAGAAATCAGTACATCTTGTGATAATTAATGTCGGCGCAAATGGACATCGACACATTATGAACTATCTATAGATTGGTGAAATTTCTCAAATTGCGAAATCCGGTCTATGTTAATTTCAGTGCTGATAATGCAACAACGAGACTCAATTCAAATAAGAAAAGGCATTACAGCACGTTAATCCTTTGACTTTCGGTATCTGTGGCCGTAACTTGGACGTCCATATTATTTCACTCTCTCTGGTCAGAATTGAGGTCATGCAAAAGCCTTCATTTTTTCACATTTTATCAAAATAAGTGCGATTTAACTAAGTGTTATGCCTTTATATATTTATTTGGAGGTCTCAGTGCGCTAGTGCCATAACAGCGGAAAGCGAAACCATCATTTGATTGACTTTACTCTAGCCCTAGCTTTGCGGTAAGAAATGAGTGCATGTGCTTCAGGTGGGAAAATCTCTAATTTCTTCAAAACGACATGGCTGAGATCTACGTATGATGTTGACATTCATTCCATCCTTTTATTATACTGACGTACTCGTAGGGAAGTATTTGGGGAAATTTCGTTCCTGCCTTCTCCTTATCATTCTTGCACATAGATGTCAGTATTGTGACATCACATTAACTTCCCATAAGATTTGACTAAATCCTTTTAATCAGACAGAAAGGGTAGGAGTGGGCTTTCGCATGGCCCAAAGGCTGGCCCACCTTGTAGAATCAAGATGGCTGCCAATGTGGTTGCTACCATTCAAGTAGTCGAATAAACGAAGCATCACAACCCCTTCCGCACTAGATTTGGTTAATACCCGTAATCATTTTTGCAGTTATGCTGAGACCAGCTATGAGAACCTATTAGGCTCAGCAGAATTCTTAAGCTGCGAATCGCAGTATCAAGTCCATTCATACTCCACATCCAGATTAATCAGTTACATGGAGGTCAAGTTTTTCCCCACAGCTATGTTTACAATGATAACTGGCGCTGCTGACCCATTACTGTTTTAGAGCAGATGGCTAGGTAGGCGCTGAGACCCTCACTCAAAAGAGCAGCCTATACCATAACATCTATCTCTTAGGTAAGTGCATACATTCAGCAAATGTAAAAAGACCCAGACAATCGTCAAGACCCGGTTTGCGGCCCACCTGGTCAAGGCAACAAGGCCATCCAATTGACAGCAACCAAAACTGGCAGTCAAATAGGTATGGCAACGCAAAATAGTAATCATACTTTAACGTAATTATCAGGAGGTTTTGGAACATCTTAACAAAGCTAGGAACTCCTCTTGCTAGCTGAAAGTATAACCTTGGAGACTCACCTCACAATTCAAACAAATATAGACAAATAGTAAGCACCTATCATTTCAATAGCATTGCTATGAATAACTGTGCATAGGCTCAGTTTAATCCCTTTTTAAGTGGTTAGAACGCTTTTCTTGTTGCTATTCTGCTAATTTAGAATTCGCACTTCCATGACATAATTTATGGAACATTCCAATTCGCCAAATGCAACGATACAATTCATCATTAGAGTGCTAACAATGGCTTAAAACTTAACAAAGTCCTAGCACTCGAGGAGAATCTATAGCAAGATTCAAAGCTACTGGCGCGATCCAGGATAAGATCTCACTTGGCAAAAGTGTGACGACATAGGCTCGTTGAATTGGTTGGACATATAAACAGTGTAGTGAAATAGGTCCCTCTCATCTACATCTTGTAATAGTCTGAATCTTGTCCCCTTAATAGGCGCCTTTCAGAGACCTTATGGCTGCATCACACAACAGCTCGAACTACAAAAACTCACTCATCATTAACGCGCTGCGTCTGCACAACGAAAATGGTCAGTATAAATAGATAATCTTTTTTCATCAAAAAGAAGAAAGAGTAAGGGTTAAGTTCCAGTGATGGTGGGGGGTGAAGAGATGAGGGAAGAGATTGGGGAAGGAGTAGGTTTAGATACATAAACGTGCGCAAACGCAACACAGATGCCAATACAGAATGGTTGAAGGAAAGGAGAAAACGGAGAAGCTGTAAGGAAGTACTCTGTACACGAAATCACCCACTCTCTCCTCATAACGGGTGGCGGAAATGTGATGGAGAGAAGGGAAAACTCAGTGGCATCCGTATTCCCCCGTTCTGATAGTGTGGCGGAGGCAACAGCTGTGGTGGAGGCTGCATAGGTGGCGGAGGTAGTGGTGAAGAGACTAACGATCCACCCTCCGGCATTACTCGACGTCGTTTCAGGGCCATCATCAGCTCTGTTTCCTGTTGCTGCTGCTGCCGCTGCTGTTGTAATAACTTTACCGCTGTCACCGGATCTACAGAGCGAGGCAACTCCGGGTGTTGTAACGGTTTTCGAACCGATGATATCGCTAGACCTGCCAAATGAGGTGGAGGTGACCGCGTCAAATCGATTGCAATGGGGTGAGGTGGTAGCGATGGCACAGCACAATTACCACTAGCACCACCACCTCCCAACGCTGTTCGCATGAACTGCTCGTAGTTGGGGAAGCGCGGTATTGTCTGGTGGTGCGACAAGTGTGGCGGGGGTGGGGGCCGTTCACGTGGTTTTGGTTGAGACAAGGTGGCACTTGGTTCAACATACCACCAAGGGTTTGAGGGGTTCACCGACTTCAGACCGTGTGTCTTGTCCATCATGATATGGTAACAGATTCGAAGATGCGCTGTCGCACCGCGATTTGAAAGCTTTCAAATATTTGATAAAGCAAAATCAAAAGTAAATTTTTCGTTGGAAGCAAAAAAAGTAACGCTAAGGCAGCTTACCACCCCCTCGATGCGAAAGAGATCCCGAAAACGAGGTAATTGATGAGGTCGTCGACTTGCAGATGGGGATGGCTGAGGTTGTGGTTGCTGAATCGGGGTAGCGATAGCGACTGGAGAGCGCTGATGTGCCCAGAAATTCGGGAAATTCAAGAGTGACTGCGGAACTGAGAGTCTTGCACCCGCAGATCTTTTCATATTGCCAACCCCGTTTCCTCCGCCAGCCACTGAAGTAAGGTCTACTGCATCCACAACTGGCATTGCTTTGCGGGCGTTTGCCGGATTACTGGATGGTGGGACGGATTGGGGATGGAGATGTGGACTCTATTTGGTCAAAAACAGGACATAAAGTCCAAGTAGCACAATCGACTGAAACACTAAAGCTGAAGCCAATAAGGATTGACTTCACCCACAGCGATATTGGCAAATGCAGCATATAGAAGTAAAGGAAATGGAAATTAATTCCAACAAACGGATAAAAACGGACCATTACCGCAATAGATTTTATACTCAAACGGTAACGCCTCAATCTTCCTCAAAATATGCACTTCAAAACAACGCTTTCAATAGATCTTTGCAATAACAAAAAGGAACAATGCAAAACTCTCAAAGAGCCGAAGGCTTTCATATGTGGAGTACTTTATTTGCGACGCACCAATAAGTAGGGAAAATCTGGAGCAGGCGGTTGGAGACGCGGAAGATGGTGGTGGCTCCATAGAGTGGACAGATGCGGTGGATTTGCCATGAAGGGATGATGTGACAGCGAAGGAGGGGCAGAAGGAATTGACGTGCCCGCCGTCGAGATAGAAGGCGCAGGAAGAAACTGCCCTGTCGAAAGTGACTGTGCTTGTCCTTGGAAGACTACGGCGAAGGATAAATAAGATAGTGATAACTGCGATGTTAAACTCAAATCAAACCGAAGTAACACTGATCGCTGAAGTGGACATTATAGAGAATGCTCAAAATAAGGGAGAAGCAGTGACCACCGCTCACCGGGTGCAGTTGATCGTAGGCCAGCAGCAAGGGCAGCAGCAACAGCAGTGGAGTTGAAGAAGGCTGGTGAGTGAGGGAGTGGTGGTGGATGAATTGGCGTCGTCACTGAGGCGGGAGTAGAGTTCACCGGAGTTGGGAAATTAGTTGCACTGCTGGTGCGATTGGCAGTAGTGGTGGTTGTGGCAGTAGTAATAGAAACAACAGCAGCAGAAGAAGAAGAAGAAGCAATGGGTGGTGTGAAAGGCAGGGGTGGATGTGATGACGGTGGAAACGCTTTATTGGTTAGGGGGACAGAGGAATCCATTGCAGCGGTTGGCGGTACACCTGCACTCACAGAATTCTGTTGAGGATTAAAGGTTCTAGAGAAAAATATGCAAGAATGCTTTGGTGAGGTGGAAATTTACTTGGTCACCATTCAAAAGAATAAAAATGATCTACTTTGCGAAAGACTGAACGGTGGAGGGAGAACAGGAGGAGGGAATCTGGGATCGCTGGTGCTGCTGTCGTAAATGTTCTTGTTGTTGCTGATGGTAGATCGCCATGATCTGAGCTACAGGTGGTAATCGGGCAACTTGTTCCGTAAAAGCTCGGTCCGTAAATAGAAGATGGGTGAGCTGACGCAATTCTTCCTCTGCCACCCCAAATCCACCTTTATTCAATGCCATTTCTGCACCTCGGCATGATAGACGCTCCAACCACTGTGCCGGTGTCAACAGATGACCATTTTGACGCGGCTGTGGTGGTTGCGACAGTTGAGGCAAATGGATTTGTGATTGATGCTGCTCTTGAGATGGCTTCCCCAGCGGAGACGCCTCCTCGTTCTCCTCAACCGCCGTCAGTGCCGCGATACTAAAGAGATCCCGTTTTGGAGCTAAAACGAAGAAAACCAGTACATTAGGTTCGTATGTGGTTTTTTTTTAGATAAAGGTTTCCAGCTACCCACCTGATGAAGTCGTAATGGACTTGGCGACAGTATTGCTGTTGTTTTTCGGCAATATAACTGGGAATGTTTTATCGGCGGAGAGCTAAAAAATGCAAGCACGACCAAAATACTTTTGAAAACATAAATGAATAGATTAATCAGATAATTAAATAATTAAAAAAAACGTGTAGCCATAGCAATAAAGGCCATAAAAGTTATGCTATCATACTCATCGTAATGTGCAGTGAGATTGAAAGTCCAACTCACCACCGAAGTAGCCTCTCCATTGGAAATTCGAAGACCATTTTCCTTCGCGTCGTTGCGTTGCAAAACCATGTCATCACCACTCTTTCTACCGCTGCTAGTTGTCGATGTGGGGGAGGTGATGTCAATGTGAAGCGGTCCTAGACGCACGGAGTCACCCTTGTTATCATTACCCCTTGAACTATTGCTAGTTTTGTTGGCGGTAGCATCAGCATCGGGTCCGTTGGCAGCGATTGTATTATGCTAGAGAATAAAGACGAGGGGAAGATGTAGATAAAGGAACTGAAATCCTACTTCCGGGTTTTATTAATCCGATAAGTAGTCAGGCGCATGACCTGGCAGAAACCCAAAAAAATGTACCAGAGAAGAAATAGTGAAACCCTTTGTAGACTCGTTGCTGAAAATGTAAACCACGATTGTGGTTCTCCCATCAGAAGGTAGTTAATCCCCCATAGGAAAGAGATCTAACGAAAAGACATCTTCAGTGCTAATTCTCCTTGCCATATTAAATGCCGAATAAAAATTGACAAGCATTCACCGATCACCACCATGAAGACAGGTGCGCTAGTTTTGTATTGGTACTATTTGAACGTGACGACTTTTCCCCTTGAATAAGAACAAACATTTTGAGCTACTGTGGTTGACCAATTTGAAGATGTACCGAGCGATTGCAGATCGTGTAAAAATGGACACCGTTGGTCAAGTTAGCCATATACACACGCACAGACACACAGCACGGCACACGTGTGATGAAGGGGTGGGGAGGGGCGGGTTAGGTAGGTGGGAGGGAGACTAAAGTGCCGAGATAACGAAGTTGTTGTAATAAAAAAACTCACACGGCAGGGGACACGCTTTATCAGAAGGGTTAATTTCCTCCAAGAGTGTGTCAAGTGTGGAGTTGTTGCCTTTGAGAAAAGTTAAAAACCCACTACACATAAGTGAAAAAATTGGTAATACAGTTAGTGCAAATTAATATTTGCCCAGAAGATGACAGGGCTGAAAGGGGTAGAGGAAACTAGTTTTGCAGTGCACACGTACATTGTACAAACACCATATGCTACAAAGGATTGCGCATACGTGCATACACACGAGGGAAGGAGAGGAAATGGAAAACTCACACGCAGAGGATGTTCGACGGCCCAATTACATTTGGTTATGGAACGACCTTTTGGCTTTGGCTGAAGTGTAGATTGAGTAAGCATGAATGTCACAATAGCGTTTGATGTCGGTGTGAGAGGGTGGGCATAGTGTCACTCAAATGAACAGTCTGGAGAATCGAAAGCTCCGGTATGATAACCTTTGAAAAACTTCCATGAGGAATAGGAAACGACATTATGGTGGCGAAGATTTTGAAACTGGACGTATGAAATTTTTGAAGTGCCTTGACCACCCTCCAAGTTGTAAAGAGCCCAGATGTGTGAAAACGTGCAACGTGTACACAATCACGCCATTACTATTACGTGGGTGTTTCAGCATGCACACAATTCTACGAAATATCTTAAGGCAGCACACAAGGTTCTCTTGCCTACCAAAGTAAACATCAACGTATCCAGAGCAACAGATCCAAATTGATATCCCCAAACGATTGACATTTTGCCCAATTCAACAAGCATTACACAGTCACGTACTTTTTATATGAAAAAGTATTTTGTAAGAGAAGACTCACAACCGTGCCCTTTTTGCTACGGGCAATGGAGGACCTGGGCGTGCAGCGACGCTGACGACCAAGGTTGTTATTGAGGGTAACAGCAGAGGCGGAGCGAGAGCTCGTCCGACGACTAGGAGTCTCCTCATTCTTATCCGTCAATCGCGAGTAGAGCTGGATTGGCAAAATGGGATGGTGACAATGATGCAAGGTGTTTATGAAAAGTGTAGGACAACTGAAAGATGCGAAGCAATCAAGTTATTTCCCTAAATCTGCAAAAAAAGTAGTTACTGAAGTCCCAAAAGGACCAAGTGACAGCAGGACCATGATGTAATTTGGCAAGAAACGAAATGAGTTTAGTTTCAGGATTCCAAAATCTCGCATTGCTATAGTCTGTTAACATCAAATTGAGGTCAAGCAAACAACCTCACTAAAGCAAGTATGGTCAATGTCATTCATGCATAAGCTAGCACAATGGGTTCTGGTAAAATTAAAAAAAGATACACGGGAAGGCGGTTTAGGAACTGATAAAAATGTGACCCAATTGTGCCAAGATTGGAGCGTTTGACAGAGGAGCTCGCATCGGTCCATACCGCGGTCGCATGAGGGCCTAAAAGAACTTATCCTCTCTGGATGCCAATTTTTGGGGAAAGCAGTAGAAAACCCAATTAAGTCTGAGAAAGGGGGCACCGTCTTTAAATATAATCCAGTTTAATCACGCAAAGCGATGAATGGTGAGCACTTCTCCATCTAAGGCTTTATCAGCCATCTTTTTACCATTGTCAGAAGACGTAGCCATACCATATGATTGGCTTGCCGTCACACCATCGCCATCACCACCACCACCACCACCACCACCATCACCGACGTCAAACGTTGTTGAGGGGTAAGTAAAACATAAACACACCCACACTTACACACACACACGCACACTACACTTTAAGTGAGCGTGAGAAAAAAGCCTTTCAGGGTAGAAGGATAACGTTAAAAATGTTGAAGAGTCGGTAGAAATACTGGCACCCCAGATGCTATTACCTTCTCGTAATTAGGGCATTCAAAACAATTGTCTCAAATGCTCTACAGTTAATGAAGAAATGAAATGAAGAGGCACTGAAGTAAATACATGCAAAAGTTACATTAACATTGCGTAAAAGTCAATTTCAATAATAACGTTAGGGTCGGCCATAAATGGAATTTGTTTATGATAAGGTCTCGTATTTGACGTACAAATAAATTAACTAACGAACTGGCCTTAAAATTCTGAACTTTTCCTGCATTTCAGAAGTGAACACCATGAAATGCATTGGAATTGGAAGAACCGTCACTCTTCCTGCTTCGAAAAAAAAAGACAGCAACAACCACGGTTAGCAATAAATCACCAATTTGGAAGGAGATAAACCAATCATTGCTACTGCTGGAAAAACATCTACTTCCCTTTGCCCGCTTGTCAGAGAAACACCTAGAAGATAATGCTTTGGCGTGGATATTCCAAATTTCTTAAAACAGTTCGATCATGCAGGCGGTATTGAAAGGAAGAAAGTCACTATCTTGACCTCAACCATTGACACGTTAGCGACTTTGGTTGAAAGTAAAACGTTAGTTTTTTGCACTCACTACGTCACATTATGCAAAAAACAACAATGGTTGCCTACTAGCTCCAAGCCCTCAGATCAGTCATGCTGGCCTCCGCAAAGAGAAGCACCAATATCCGACGGAGTTAAACTGTGAAACACGTTCAGACGTGAACACCATCAAGGCGTGCGCACAGACCAATGAATAGCGTCAGGTGAGGGAATGGGATATTGACATGGGTCTGGGTTTGTGGGTGCGCCAAGGGTAACGTAGAACCAACAACGGCCCTAGCACAGTCATGATAAAAGATAGCATTAGAATGGTGGTAGATAAATTGATTCGTAAACCACAGGATGACACTGATAGCTACAGTTTGCTCAACCCAAGTCAAACGAATTCACCACCAACAGTAGCAACAAGTTGCTAACTTGATTGACACGCCTGAGAGAAATTGCCTCTAAAAGACAGTCGAAAAAAGAGAAGCATCCTTCACTACCACAGAAAACAGCACAACTACACACCTCGAAAGTGAAACCAGGAATCTCCCTGTCGTTAAAAATTGACTGTCCAAAAAATTTCTATGCGCTAAACGCATTGACTTGAACCGAATGACAGTTACTGAAACTAAGCTAAAGTGTAGACATTGAGGTAATAAAAATTTGCAAAAGTAGCTGGAAATGTTGTTTCCTCTACTAAAACATGACACGAAGGCTGGGAAAAAAAACAACACGCCTTGAAGCGAAAAATTACCACCTACGATCAAAAATGAGAAAGTGTACAAAGGAAACTGGAGCCGCCAAGAAGGACCATTGGTGCAACAACATCCAGATCCTCTTAACTGAAAGGCAAGAAAGTGGAGTCGAGATAATGGTGTAGGTGTCCGTATTAGTATAAGGTCACAACACCGTGCAATTGATAAATTGAGGCAGCTGTGTGAAGGCTCCACCCTCACATTCCTTCCACTTTTCGTCCCCCACTCACCGCCTTCCCCACATTGGAAGAGGAGAATCGTGAGTGCATGACTGATACCTAAACTAATCAGTTGATTTATCAATAACAAAGGTTAGTGAACGAGTGAGTGCAGACCGACTAAGGGCTAACAGCGCAGTTCTAAAGCCAGCGGAGATATTAAAAAGGTATCCAAACAAAGAGACGATTTAGCCAAAGCTACACAAAAAGAGGGTGGAGAGGAGCCAATGGAGGGAGGTGCTTTTCCACACCATAGCAACAGATAAAAACAAGGCGACGCGCGACGACCTTGATTGCCGAGAGGAGGGAGGGGAGAAACGACAACGCGCCAGCACTCCGCCCGAAAAGGGATTCAGTACTGTTCGCACGAAGTGAATGAAAGCCTTTGCAACGTGCCAACATTAGAGACGTGCTCTAATACATCCTTCACTCGGTCGGGAAAATGTGAGTTTGGTCAGGGATTATGCATATCAAACTACTGAACGCAAACCCTGTCCACCAAATAAAATTGTAATTCAGGAACAGAACCAGTCACGAACTCGGCACAAGGTAGACCGTCTTAATGGAATCCCACGGTGGCCGCAGCGGCGCCATTGTCTGGTTTATCTGATGATTGTCGGATAAAAAGGCCGACTAATTGGTCGAGAGAGCCGAAAGATGGTAATTAAGGTTAAAACAAGCATGATGCACCCAAAATGAGAACGACTACAACCTCAGAGACTTCCTTATTCCTCATCCAACAAAACTTTTGGTATGCTGCCATTTCCTATTTCTTCCCGCGAACACGTAGAGTCAGTAAGAAAATGTGCAACAAATTCATCTGTGCATAAGACTACAAGTTGAAAGTACCATAGGAAAAGTTCATCCAACTGCTATTGCTGCCTTCTAAAGCAGGATATAGTAATTAATCGTTTCAGCAGAGCCAGATTGTTAAAATGCATTGCCCGATAAACTTTTACGCCTTCATCTCCTGATTTTTTGTGGAATACGGCGTGGTGACATCGTCAGAAGGTAACGGTTGATGGAGGACGCAAACACAAAACTCCAAAGGAAAACAAAAACAAAATAGGATTAATATTGCACAGGTGTTATCAATAGCACAGCATCTTGACACAGAATATGTTTTTACACGTAGACCTAATTGTGCACAAAGTAGCAGAGTAAACACATGTGAACATTTGTGCACGTGTATCATGACACTAATCTAAATGCCTGTCACCCCTATTAATCCTGTCAGTAGTGAAAGGAGTACTGTCGTTCATTGAGATGCTAAAATATCAGAGATACACTTGATACCACCTTCAACATACGCTCACTAAGAAGCAAGCCGTAAAAGATGGTGACGTAGTACAAAAACGCAACACTTGCACTGAAATGCATGAAATGCCATACAACCCCAAAATCATTTTAAGCCTTCAAAACTCAAAGGTTAAACACTACAAAACGGAACGCATAAAGCTGAAGAAAAAACACCAAAGATGGTCAAATGAAAGCACGAGTTACCAATGTCACCTGCACCAAATTGACCTGTGTTGAGAAGGCATTTCGAAGTGAGCCACGCATATAATTGTTTCAAATAACCATTCCATGGTAGTGGAACCCAAGATTACTCTTTGGTTTTGCACAGAAATTTGATGTAAACACACCCTTCCCCTTCCCTCTCACGATGTAAAGCCGTACGTAAACACACTGCTCCAATTTCTAGTGAGAGAGAAAATAAATAAAGCGTTTTACTTACGTACCCATTTGCTCTCCCCTCCAAATTATAACCCATTTTTGGCCATTTTAGGAGTTAAAAAGTTATTTCCTTTACTGTGTGAATGCAATGGGGAAGAAGCGGCGCCTAAAAATAGTCAAAGCATCAAAACATAAATTGACAATTTAACGCGAAAATGAAACAATAATGAGTACTGTCATCAGGAAGACTTGATTCGAATGACTGTGCGTAGGAAAATCCCACCAAAGATGTATTTATGGTTTTATGGCATAGATCTTAAGGAAGAAGGGGGAGGGGAGTTAATGGCAAGACAATGTAGCAATTTTCCCAACCTATCATGCAGATCTAGTGATGACCATTTCTGCCGATTTTAACAGTTAGGGCTCGAGTACACGCGTCGCTGTGTGCCAAATTTCAACGCTCCAGACCCCACCACCAATGCGTACAAGCCCGCTACAACACGCGTGTACGCACGCAACATGTCGGTATCATCAAAGTCCCGCCACCACCACCACCACCACACCATCTGTGAGATGGGGAGGGGGGAACGCACACACACACACCCCGTTCATGTGACTCGCCAAAGTGGGTGGCCCCAAGAAAATGGGGGTGGTGACACCAACACCACCAGTTAGTAGCCGGAGTAGCAGAAAGAAGGCAATGCTCGCAGAATAAATTACCACCAGCATTCACCCTCCTTCTCGCCCTCTGAGAAATAGCAAATGAATTACAAATTTGTTTCTTTTCTTGCTTCCAGTGCTATTGTAGTGCCACCACAGTCACCACCCCTTGTTAAACCACTTATGGTCTTGCAGGAAAACAGTTTTATGGTTCTGTGTAAGTGAATTTGAATTAATTAACCTGAGGAGACACTTTAATGCCTCTTCGCAATAGTACAGGAGCCTGATAAACAAAGCCTCGTGCCCCACTTTTGTTCCAGTGAAGTTGCAATTTTTCAGAAAAAGCTTTTACCAATTATGAATGTGAGAGAGTCAAAATGCATTCTTTTAAAACCACAGTGATAATTTAAAAAAAGGGAAGGAAAATAGTAATACATAATCCCCCTCCCAGAAATTTTACAGCCTTCGTCTGATCAAAATTACACGTCATTTTCAAACAAAAAGAAAAACAAATAGACTTAGAAGTGGTTTTGACAGCAATGACAAGAATCGGCACTCCCTCCAGCTCAACTTAGTACTTTACCATTTTTCTCTACCTAAAATGGAAGCGATTAGCCACAAAAACACATTTGTGACGAAAGGACGCGACTGTGAAAATATCATAGTTTTGTATAATCATCTTTAACTTGGAGCCCCTACACCCCTACCAACAAAAATTTAGTACAGCACCGCCGCCATTCGAGCAACGCAAAATGTCAGCGAGGCGCATTTTTTTTCCTCCATCCACATCGGTGGAGTTAGTGTGATGAAGTCGAAGGTGTAAACATACAGCATTTCCGAGAGATGCTTCGTGTATTAAATAGCAGAATAGGTTTAAGGACAAACATCAAGAGGGACAATGCCATCCATGAATACAAATGGTGTAGAAAGGAGCGGCGCTGTTGATGGAGGTGGATGAACTCAATAACCGGAGGGGAAAGAAGAATTTGGGTGAAAGGGCAAACTAGTAGTGGAAGCAGCGCCTAAAGTGACTCATCCTCAAACAACCACGAAATGCAAGCGCAGTGGAGGCCAAGGGAGAAGGGGGAAGGTGGAAAGAGGGAAGTGAAAGGGAGGGGAAAATGAAACACCGGATTGGGAAACGCGCGAGAGCAAACACGCACACAGAGAAGAGATGGCGGAAATGCCTGAATATTAATCCTCTACATCGCCAACATGAAGCTAAGCTCGAGGTGAAAGCTGGACTTCGTTGCGCCGGTAACTCTCCCCACACATCGGAGAAGGACCCAAAACCATAACGGCTCTCCGCGCTTACATCACCAACAAGTATTAGTTAGGGTTTATATACACCAGCCTTTTAGCTTCACTCTTCGATCACAGCGCCTGTGATAGAATGTTGCGATTCGAGTCGAAAGTTTAGTCAATGAGACTGGAATTCTCATGGCATCCATACATAACACAGCATCAAATACTTTACTAAACGCCGTAGAACTCACGAACACTTTAGAGCATACAGAATGGTGCTGCTGCCGCCGCCTCAGCCTCTGCTAATTCATGCTAAAAACATTGACTAAAGATAGGAAATTTGGAGGAAATAGAAAAGGAGACAATACTGTTATGCTGAAAATTCTAAGCATAATGAAAACAGGTTGCCATTTCCTGCCTTGATATTTACCTCAATACCTTGAGCTTCATAAAACGGGATCGAAGAAACACAGTATTTCAAAAATGGAGTCAAGACTTAACAAATTTGAACTGCTTCTACACTCACTTGGAAATGTAAGCAAAAAATGAATGAGAAGCACAGCAGTTCCACCTGTCTGAGTGTTTATGCGTCTTTGTATGTGGTCGTCTCACCCCTCCCGTAAACAAACATGCATACACACGCAGCCATCTGATAATGGCATCACCCACCCGCCCAAGCCAAATAGCGATCCCATTTAGTGGCGTTTATAATTTACCACTGCCACTCCAGTGGTTGAAAAGTTTACTCTCTGAGTGCGAGTGCGTACGCATTCACCTTCCCAACCTCCATTTTAAAAATTGACAAGTACGCTAAACCAAGAAAGATGTGCGCTTTCATTGTAGACTAAGCCTAACGACAAAGGCCCGTGCACGTATCCACGTGCGCACACGTAGCGTTAAGCACTAAAAGGTAGACATTTTATGTTTATCGTGTAAAATTAAGTTATATTGCCCTCAAAGTCGCTCCTATCGCCTCCCGTCTGTACTAACTACCCTCTCAACAACCCGTGGAAAGTTTGTAGTGTCGTACTTCAGCGAGGAAGAATTTTCAAGCAAGCACAAAATTTCCTGTCATTCAACTGAATTAACCTGACAATCACTTTGTGAAATCGGTAACACTGCTCCACTATACGGAAGGAAAGCCACGAGCCTTTCTCTCCTCCCTCAAAAAACATCACTTAAGCGTTACTGGTGATCGTAAAGCCTCTCCCGTTGAATAACATAAGGCAAATAAAGCTAGGATTTACGTCTCCCAGTGATGCCCTAAAACACTCAGTATTTTCATTACGTGCGTACCATGGTTGGGCGGATCTGATGGTTCTCCGTCTAGTAAACCACATCAAGGTACTTGTCAACGATAGCAAGTATTTTTCAATTCTAGTAAAAAATATTTTGAACAATACTTTGATATATGTGAGTCAAGATAACAAATACTCACTTGGTTTAGATCATGTCCAATATTACAGACA